CTTTTTCTGACTCGGGCGTCACCCCAGGAATTCCCATTATCGAACACGAACAATCCTTTGTTTGCTTACAAACAGCAGGGATTAGAACATCAAGAACCCAAACTTTAAAGGATGACACGCATCCTTATGCAAGAACGTCTTATAACTCTTTTTTTCCAAGAAGGCTCAAGTTCAGGTCTGGATATGTAAGCTTGCTGTCTCGTTGTGATGGGAGGTTCTGGGTTTGGTTGCGACGCAGCTTGTGGGTTTCGTGCAGGGATTCTGGTTGGGGGGGAAACGGGGGGTGGTTTCTGTGTTTCAGCAGAACATAGGAACGACATGCCCTGTGTTGTTCAGTTGTCTGGAAAGTACATGCCGAAAACTTGCCATGCAGTCAAGTTCTGCTTGGTTGGTCAAGAAAGGGCTTGCACTGGAATTTGAACGCACTGGAATTTGAACATTTCGTGCAGGCATACGCAATTGGAATGCGAAGCGTCGATGAAAGAGCTCTCATCTCAGACTTGAATCGTCCTGGGCAGCCAATATTGGTAATGTTGGAAAAGCACCAGACTCTGGCGTTTGCAGCGCGGCCATGCGATCCGCTGCCTGTGGTGTGCGAGGCAGAGAGGATGTGTTTCCCTCTCGATGCTGCCTACATGCAGGTGCAGGGTCCCAGTTGGTCTTTCCCAGACTGTGAAGACAGTGATTAAGTTTCGTCTGCATGCTCCCTTTAATGCAACCCTCATGGTGCAGGTGCTTCCACAGCCATCCGGAACTCACAGGAGTCGAACATTAAACCTGGATGACGATGCAACATGCACCAATGCGGTCAGTTTACGCCCAAGAACACAAGCTGCTGGCAAGCATGCGTTATTGTCAGGATCTTGCTGACAATGCCGGTGACCGACATGGAAGCCCTTCTCAAGGTGACCAACCATGTCATCTTCATGCCCAGATGCCACCAGTCTGAGTCGGTCAGTGCTGACAGACGATGCCTTGAAGGAGCTGCCAGAAGAGGTTTTCGACCTGCCGCATGTGAGCGAGATGCGTGTCCAGACTGAGAAATTCTACATGTCGGGCCCCGGCAGAAAGTCATGTTCCCATAGCTCATGGTACGATCCAGGCACTCATGCCTTCCGAGTTCCACTGCCGGGTTCAGCCTGTTGCTGAGTTCGACCGCAGCCATCTCCCATTTTCTCCTCTGTAGGTCTCCCTCTCCGTCTTCCTTTCCTTTCCCCTCCCCTCACGCCTCACCCCTCGCCCCTCGCCCTCGCCCTCGCTCTCTCGCTCTCTCGCTCT